TAAACCGAACATTTTTACAGTAATTACGTTGTTGGCAGAAAAACACCCTGCATGACTGTAAGTAAATAAATTATAAATAGTTTCAAAACAGCATCGATGAACAAATAGGTAAGTGTGTATATAATATATAGGACTTTTTGTCGCGACAGGGATTACTGAAAATATGTAGACGAAAGTGAAGTTGTTTAAAAGGTGTTTAAATGTTTAGTAATACATATATCTTTGTAAAGCAATGTATCCAGTATGTACTCTTACTACCAAACAAAATTCAGATGAATATTCCTATTTCTCGACAAACTAACTTAAATTCAGTCTTAATCTGAACATTATGTGGCATTTAGTAGCAATAGTGGGAGGCGAGAAGACAGGAAAATGTTGAACCGATAAGAAAACTTTAGAAGATCTGGAATTCGTGGGCGATTTTTAAGAATTTGGAGACTTACAGGAAAAACCAGCAGGTTATTAATTAAATTAATGATCACGGATGCACACAATAGGATTTAAAAAAACCAGCAGGTTGGCAGAAGAAGCGGTAAAGACATGACTTCAAATGAACATAGAGCAGATAGAGGTGGTGAAGATAACCAACCAACAATAACAAGCACTAACCAATATCAACGAAAGTAATTTGAAAGAGGAAGTATCATTTCAAATACAAGCAGTTGGAACGGATGAAGACGCCAAAACGACAATTGAAAAGACAAGACAGGTCATCATCACTCTGAAATCAATTTGGAAATCTTCTGCACTCAGCATAAACAAAAAAATTCAGATTTTCAACATCTATTTCATGTCAGTTCTTCTGTATGCGTCCGGAACTTGGCTCTCGCTTTACCGAAAGCATTTCCAACAGGGTACAACAGATATCTGTCAACAACTGCCTTCTCCAGCTCCATACTGAAGATCAGATGGTCAGAAATAATTAGCAATAAGAAACTCTGGTAGGAAACCAAACAAGAACTGATTGCTTAGCAAATATGTAGAAGAAAGTGGAGATGGATATGGCACACGTTGAGAAGACCATCACCTGACGTCTTGCTCCAGGCCGTCAAGTGGAGCCCGAGTGGAAAACAACGAATTGGGCGTCCGAGGTTGATATGAAGGAGATCATTAGTAAGAGATGAGAGCCTATGGCCAATCACGGAGACAGCTGAAGAAGATTGCAGAGAATAGGACAAAATGGTGATGTTGCATATGTTCCACTCGAAACCCAAGGGAATAAAAATAATAATAATGGTTGTATCCGTGGTATGTTTACTGATTACTGTCACAGCTCAGTTTTAATACATGAGAAATCTGTCTACTGCAAAATGCATTATTACGCAACATCACTTTCACAGACTGAACCATAAAATATTGTTGAAACAGATAATCACTGAAATAAATCTTGTCTTAGTCGAAATAAACTCCGAAGCATGTGAATGCCTAAGATCACAGAATATGTCAAATCCTTAAAATTAGAAAACAACATAATAAAAATGTCAACATATTAGTGGGAGAGTTTTATCCATATTTTTCTAAGTTGAGTTAATTACAAAGACACAGTTAACTTATTTATAGTGTTAATAAATACCTTTTAGGATTTCGTCATTAACTGACATCGGTTAGAGAATCATTGGAAAACCAATAGGGAGTACTGGACAGCTACTTCGTCCTAGTTTGGAACTCTTCAACAGTACGCACTGGGGCTCGAGCCCAGGACCTCCCAGTTACAAGGGAAGCCATTGGGACCCAATATCAACTCATGATGAAACCCTGAAACCATCAAATCCCTGCAAACTAACATTCAAATACCATTTAACTTTTCCTCTATCATCTTTTAGCCCCTAACAACTTCTAAATTCTTCATAAACTCTATCATATGACCCTTAATTTTTCATTTTTAAAGAAGAATAGATAATTTCAGAGGTTGATATAAAAGTTCATTAATGCTGACATCATATGCAAATATTTCTTTTATTTTAAACTCCATTCCATAAGAGAGTACGGTATCTTTTCATCAGTATTACACATTTCATACGCAAGTCAATTGGAATGAAATTTTCCAGAAAGCATAAAAACACTTCATTATTGTCAGTTTGAATATTATACTTGACTTCATTAATCACTCTAGCACACTGTTCACTGATTGTTTTAAACTCTAAAAGAAATTCCCTCTTGTGAATAGCACTTAGTAGTAGTAATAATAACAATACTACGTCATAAGTAGAATCACATTACTTATTTTTTGATAATATAAGAAAAAAAAATAGATATAAAAATGAATGTCATCTTCAAATTGCACAAGTCAAATTATCATTTTATTATCTCATGAGATTCAGAAGAGTGTAGAATTGCTCATTAACGGAAAAAGAAACACATCACATACATAAGAACAACAACTTCAATGTATGTCATTACTAACTCCAGTATTATGTTTTTAGATATACGTACATATCTATATATTTATATATATAATGCATTCTTCACGTGAATACCTATTACAAATGACTTGTAGTAGGTTGCTTTTTTCTTGTTTTTGTATTGATGCAGAAAATTTTATATGGATTGACTAAGTGAATTGGCAACTAGTGAAAAAAGGCATTAGTATCAATGAGTGGAAACATTTTTGGTGAATTTTAAAATTATGTTTATAAACTTAAAATTAGATTAGATCAGAATTAAGCAACAAGTAATTTATTCCGGACAAGTAGATCTTTGCATTTGGTAGATTGTATAATAATTTTTAGTTTACTATGACAGATATTTTAAATCTGTTGTAATAAATGTAAAAATAGCTATGATAAGGCTAAAACTAACAACAATCATAAAGTATTTAATTCAATTTTAGATTTTACCGTCGATTGATTGGACCGAAGTGCTCGGTCTCAGGTTGATATGTCAGCTTCTTTTGCAGATGCTTTGACGATGTCTGGGCATGTAATTAGATGTTAGTTGGTGGATGGTGACTAGCAGTGGAATCCAGGATGTGCATTTCATCCTACTTGGGACTTGTCGCCTGAATGTACCTGCATTGAATTCAATAATTAATATGAGCCGTTGCACAAGAGGTGGCTCTCGTGGCCCAAGTGGTCTAGTGGATAACGATTTGGCGTTTGAAATTATGGACACTGGATTCGAGCCTCGGTGGGAACATTATCACTCACTGGGGAATGCAGGTACATCCAGATGACGAGTCTCGAATAGGGCGAAATGTGCATTCTGGATTCCAGTGCTAGTCACCATCCACCAAATAACTTTTAATCATAAAGTAAACATAAGAAAAGTGTAGGATTATATACTGCCTAGTGATTATTCTTCGTATAACCAGTTAATATCTCTTTACCGTCGACTTTATGATGTTAGCTATGCACAGGGATACTAAGATTTACAATTCATATAATAATATTAACAAACACATGTATACACAGAGTATGTTTTGATTCGTTTTATTTGCTAGTAAACACTTCATGTAATGACTATACCCCACATTCCACTTTCACTTACATATTTTATGCACACGTGCCTCTTGATGTTATTTGGTTAGTAGTGACTAACAGCAGAATATAGGATGTACATTTCATCCCATTTAAGATCCATCATTTGAATGTGCATGCATCTCTAATGAGTAACTCTAAATGAACACCTACTGAGCATTTCGTTCCAACACAATCAATCAACGAGAAATATAAAATAACTCAAACAAATAACCTGTCTCTTAAGATTACAAGTTATAATTTAAATGGTCAACATGAAGTGTTTCATATCCTAAATAGCTCAAATTGAAAGTCAATCCTTTCAGTAACTTTGGAATAGGTGAAAATATACGTTAGGATGAATATGGTTTGACTGGTTGCAGGATTTCATCATGAGCTGGCATCAGTTAGGGAACCATTGGAAAACCAACAGGGAATACTGGACAGCTGTTTCGTCCTAGTTTGGAACTCCTCATCAGTACGCACCCACTGGGGTTGGAACCCAGGACTTTCTGGTTACAAGGCGAACTCGTAGACCATTATGTTAATTATTTCTCTTTAATGACACGAAGCAACTTAAAGCATTAGTTTATGTCCTGTAACTTATCAACTAAAAACAACCCATTTGTAATCTGTTATACCAGAAGTTTTCACCTAGTGACAATTCTAATTCCTATTTTAATCTGATTATACATTCATCCATAGAGTATTCTAGGAGACATGTATTGAAATTGTTGGAATTAGTTATTTGGTTGAGACTGTGTGAACCAGAGAAAATGAATGATTTACATCAGATATTTTGTGGACCTTAGAAATTAAGTAGATGTATAATTCACACACAAATATGTGTTAAATGATTGAAGACAATCCATAAGAAGCCTTAGATCTAGGTTTTGTGCCTATTGGCATTCGTTATCAGGATGTAGCTCTCACATGGGACGAAAAGGTTTCACCAAAGAGGTTCAAACTCGCACCACCCAGTGCCTCAGTGAAGCACATTACCAATGAGCTATTCAGGCTCACCAGCGAATAAGCAGTGTCATGTGTTTAGTCTTTTTTGTTGATGGTAAATGAATTTTGTGAGTTAATTTTGCAATATGGTAAACAAGCTAGGTGACTTGCAGTCGCAGTCCACCTGAAATTAATGTTAGACAGCTGCAGGCAATCGACAAGAATATAATACCCAAATAAATATCTAAACATATTTAATACCTGAATAATAAACTTCAATAGAAGTTAAGAAATGTTAAAATAAGTAATAAATATCATGTGATACAAAAATATACTTATAACTAGCTGGAAATGCATTTAATCAACAATCACTGACGCAAAAACGTGGTTGTAGTGTAAGTGGAAGAGTCCTTTTACAACTAAATGAACAGTAGTATGTTATGGAAAGATATAAGTTAGACATGCTCATCATTGAAGACATAAATATATTTATTAATAAACAACAGATTTAATGTTAACGATATATACCATTTAGTGTATAATAATGGTTCTTCACAATACATTATAAGTATTAGAATTTATTAAATTACTTACATTGTGATAATTTATCTCGAAAATTGTTTATACAAGAAAATTTCATTGGAGGTACATGCGCTTCAGTGAAACGTTGTTCAACTTCATTGAAATTTTCTTCAAAATTTACCCATCTTGCAGTTTCTAGCCAAAGAACACGGAAATGTGCTGTTACTGGCATTTTAAAGATGGATTCATCAAATTGTAATCCACCTTCAACTCTTGGTACCAATTCTTGAAGTTCAATAAACATTTGAGATGGATAAGAACCAGTATGAAAGCTAAGTTTAAATCCATCTCTGTGATCTGAACTTCCACTATGTTCTTCTTCAACAACTAAAATAAAGAAAAGAAGAAAAAAATAGTTAGAATACAGACAGAAAGCATAATCTTTTAAATAACGTTTGAGTATTTTTATAATGAAATCGAAAGTTTATTCTACTCAGTGAAACTTGTTCAAAAAAAGTAGCGAAAACTTGTTATCACCTTCCTCACATATACCCACTGAGTAACTGTAATAAGTTCCGTTCAAGATATCATATATAACCCTTCAATTGAAATTAACAAGCTGCCTCCAAATTACTGCTGGTCCGAAACTAAATTTTCATTTCACCCTCAGTCTTCATCCATTCCATCGCTAATTTAATTTCATTAATTTTTTAATTTTGGTTATAGCTTGATTTCACACAGTAATTTTGGTACAAGTATGGAATTTTCAGCGCAGAAATTTCGCAGGCTGACCGTTGATATCAGGTGTGCGTTGGAATGGGATCGAACCTCGGACCATGTGCATGGTCGGCGAGCGTCTTCACCACTGTGCCACCGATAACAGTCTGTCCATCCAACGCTTTCCCAAGTAATCTCACCATCAACACAGAATTGGTTCTAGATTAATGTAGGTTCCTTTTTAAATCAGTACTAAAGTGACTAGCTCTAATATGTACGAGAAATATGCAACTATAAAAAAATCTGTTTTTAATTTAGATTTGTTGGCAAACTTCTCAGATTTCAAACTCCTTCTATTCCATAAAGTTATTTTTTATTCAACTAAAAATCTTTAAAACAAGCAAAGTAATTCAAATCTTTAAAAGGGTTACATAGAAATACAACTTGTTAGTTGTATTTAGAAATTTTGATGTGGTTACTTCTTTTGATCTAAGTGATTTAATTCAGAAGCTTCCGTGGTCTTTAGAGACAAAATCTTCACTCCCTACTTCGATCTGAGGTGTGTGTCTTTATAAATTCTCTGACACTTCACTCATGAAGAATTCAAAAACCCGCTTCAAATTGAATTAAGCGCCAAAGATATTGTCTGTAAAGACAATGAAAGCTTAGGTAGCAAAATATCCAATTCAGAAAACAGAACCATATCAGAAACATCCAACTGAGCTACAAATCCTCTTCATTAGGCATTCGAACTATTAAACCTAAATTATGCATTCAAAAGAAGTTCTTACATGCATTATCTCTCTCTTGGCCTATTAAGACATAACCAACTGATGACTTCTCTACCACCCCTTACTTATATTTTCAACCCCTCTCTTATTATCCCTTAATCTTATCACATCTTCATTAAAAACGTATTTCATTTACTTCCCTTACTATCCGGTATTACATAATCGGTTCATTTGTTTTTCCTAGCCTTTATCGACTACTTCTACCTGAATAGTTGTTTGTTTAATCATGCTGTTTTTCGTTATTCTTGTTATCACAAATCGTCTCATCCTTACTATTTACAGAACCCTTATTATTATTACTATCATTACTACTATTATGACTATTTGCATAACTGATATGCACCATCTAATTATCCTATAGACAAAACACCATGATTGGTTTATATTTATTATTTATTCGTAAAATTATGTACATTAAAGTTAAGCCTGATGAGATCTAATTGAAAACAATATTGTTCACTTAAATATGTTGTTCTAAATTATATTAGTTGGACAAAATTTGTCAAGGACACGTTGAAAAACTCTCCCCAGTTATTTTTTTCATGTTTTAGTAATGTATTAAATATAAATAATCTAGGTCAGTTTGATGTTATCTTTTAGGCTAGACAGTAATTAAGTTTCATAATAATTTGAGGCTCTAAATAACAATAATTAAAGGAGAACATTTTCTAAATTAAGAAAACTAACAATTCTACTTGATTACTTCTTATACAGAGTAATAAAAGAAAAAGAATAAACTGATTTAATTGTTAGTGTTAGTGGAAAAAATTCAGGTTGCTTAAATCATGTTAAAATTCCATTCACTTGTGATATCGAGCATGACAACGAATTATTTATTAACTTAGTTTCAGTGAACAGTTTGTCCTAAAAATTATCATGTTGAAAATTACAAATTTACTCAACCATTTATTGCTCAACTTTTCTTAAAGAAATGTCATAAATATATTTTTGAGAAATACTAATTACTTCTAATATTGGCGAGGTATTCCCTTCTGAATCATATTCACACAATCACAATTTCAATTTTAATTTTGAAATGAAAAGCAAAAACACTAGTTTGACGGTGGCTAACAGTGGAATATGGGATGAGGGTTTCTTCGTCATCAGTTGAGATTATCTAATCCCCAGTGAGTAATGGTGTTCCCACTGATACTGGAATCCAGTACCCATCGCTTCAAAAGACAAAACGTTACCCACTAGACAGCTTAGTCAACAGATCCATGTGCTGTGAGAAATCACTCTCTTTTCTAAAATATGATTACTTTTATATAAGTTATATAATTTCCATATTAGTTTATGAATTTTAGAAATAAACAAGACCTAAGTATTACTCAGTCGTCAGTAAATAAAGACAAGGAATGTTACTTAATTCACTTTTCAAGTACATTATCATAAGACTCGATTTATGATAGGCGGTAGATAGACTTTACAGACATCTATGAGTAGCTTAAATGATAAGAGATATTGTTTATCGTTAATGCTATATAAGAAAACAATGACGAAAATAATATATGTAACAGTGTTTATAATTACCATAGAGAATCCGATCTCGTTTCATTAACTGCACTCAGAGAATAATGATTGTGATAATATTATTACGTAGGTATATTTTTGTTGTGTTCTTCTATAGATTATATGAAGTATATAGTCCACAATATGTTGATACTCCTTTGATTTATCACTATTATAGTGCTAATCCGTCTCATACATCTTTTTTTATTATGAATTTCAACTGTAAATAACCTTGATACACACAAGTTCATCAAGATGATACACACACTCATATGATCCTGTGACTAGAATTGTATCATCACTGATAGGCTCTTTTAAAAACAGAAATTATGATTATTATTATTGCATGTCTAGTGATTTTAGTTAATTTTGTGTAGAAAGCGTAGGAAAATAAATTATGATGTTATGTATTTTGTTTTAAAAAGAGCATGCATCATGTGTCTACTGTACAGTTAGTTAGTTAGTGAGTTGGCAAGTTAGTTAGTTAGTTAGGTGTCTGCTACTACTACTACTAATACTAATACTAGTTTCACATATATTAAGAAGAATAAGTGAGGAAAGTATTCTAATTAATCATCTTTCTCTTTTCGTAACATAATATTTTCCAAATGAACAACATTATGAGAAGTGGTTCAATCAAACTGAAATAGATTTGTTTAATTTAGGTTCACGTTCATATATGTATATATATATATATATAACGTACAATATGAACGATATTCCAGGTTTAAAAAAGTTTACTCCAACCACATGTTAACCATCTGTAGATTACCAGAGCAGAGAAAATAAGTTCTTACTATAAAGTGAAATGGCTAAGAAAACATTTCCACATGGAATCCAATATTGAAAAGTTTTATTACTACATTTCATGCTGGCTAATAAATAAATTAGATCATCTAACTGACTTGATTTTCAATACAAACATCAAGTCAGTTCTTCTATATGGATCAGAAACTTGGTGGGTCACAAAGAATATTTCCAACAGCTGTCTTCGCTCTATATACTGAAGATCAGATGGCCGAAAAGAATCATCAACAAGAAACTATGGGAACAAACAAAACAAGAACCAATCGCCCAACAAATATGCAGGAGAAAGTGGAGATGGATTGGACACTCGCTGAGGAGGCCGTTGGGTGACATCGCACGTCAGGCCCTTGAGTGGAACCCGAAAGGGAAGCGGCGAGTGGGACGTCAGTGCAAAGGTGACATGGAGGAGATCGTGTGAAGAGGAGTTGAAACAGTATGGGATAACATGGATGCAAGTGAAAAGTACAGCAGAAGACAGAAGCAAGTGGAGACGTGCAGTTGAAGCCCTATGTTCCACTAGGAACCCAAGGGAACAATAACAATAATCTAACTTAATGTGTTATGTGTAAAACAAGTAAAACCAAGACTAGCAGGTTTTAGAATTGTCAACAAAATTGAAAACAGTTGTCGTGATCTTTTGTTTTTCTACCCTGTCTCACAATGTGTTTTTTAAATAGAGTAAACCTGAAGAAATGAAAGATGATTTACTTCTCAATACAGAACGATCTGTTTACAACACTTGTCGGAGAAAGAAATAAGCTAACGTTCATAGAGATGACCAGAATAGTTGCCTTTCTTCTGTCACCAAATTTATTCCTGTCGTTTATCTTCCTTATAGAAAATTCCTTTATGTTATTAGAAAGTCACTTATACATGACTAATTGTGAGTAACAGTTAATAAACGGGTGAACTGACTAAGATTGAACAGATTTACAGTTTCAAAATGTATACTTGCAAACACTGATTAATTTTGTTTCTCCTAGCTAGTGTTAGCTGGCTACAGCATAGACAAAATAACAGAGGTGGTTAACATCTTTAACAAATTTACACAGTTTACACTGGTGTAAAGTGATCGCATTCATGTTGCAGCTTCATACTTGTACGACTCAAATGCTGTAGTTAAACATTTTCTATTTTCAGGTTTACCTCTAAGGACTTGTAGCTGCATTCTAGCTACTCTCTATACTGCTTAAGCCTGAATGAGTAGTATGTATGGACTCCGTAAATCTATTCAAAGCAGCGACATCTCTCTATAACCTAAATAAGCCAATATAGCTGTATCTGTTTGTTTGACTTCTGGGATGGATGGGTGGTGTGGTGACAAATTATCTGCTAGATTAACTTCCTATTGTATCGAATTTATAGATACCCTCAACAGACCAGTGTTCCAGTTTACAATATGCAGGAATGTATATTGCATTAATCTATTCACTGCACCTGAAATCACACAGCCTCTTATCAGATTGTGAAGAGTTTTCATGCTAAGTTCCGACAGCCAGTGATATTCATTAGAGGTGACCGAAGTCACCACATTAATTTAATTTCATCATAGATTTATTGATGAATATAACTGTTTGATTTCTACCTTCGGAAAAACGACTTGTTACTAGGGTTATGTCTCACTGACTTGTAGTACACAGATGATATACCCCTTCGAGGTTAAAGTCGTTGAAAAAATATCAGATTCTCTTTAACACCTTGAACAAGAATCCAAGTATGTTTGATATACTATTCTCACCTCTCAAGTGAGGGATAATGTGTTGAGACTAGTCTGCATTGACTTCTACTTTAAAGACAAGAATTTTGAATGGCTGAGTGAACTGAATTCTTCACTTATTTTGGAAGCTGCATCAACCCTAATGAACTGACTGCTGGCGACATTTCAGCACGGATACAAAAAGCTAGCGAAGCATTCGTCAACTTGCGTCATCTTTGGTACCGGTGTAAATTTCTCAATATCCATTGCAATATGTGTGTCCTGTGCAGCAGCTTACCCTATCCTTCTTTGTGGTTATGAAGAATGATCATAAGAAATAGAAAATTTGATAAGATTCAAGGTTCTTAAGTGCTGATGCGTTCGTTTAACCGTTGCCGTTAGTTCAACTGACATCAAAGGTAATTGTGATGTTATGTAGTGTTAGATAAGGAGAGAAATTCAATGGATGACACTGTGGAGTCACACTGATTGAGGTGACCAGAACAAGTATTAAACAGACTTTAAAAAATCTACTTTCCAACACTTATTGTTATGCCCAAATTAAAAAATTAAGGAAATCATGTTGTGTCAAGAAGTGTTACGGTGTACAGTTTACAGTGACATTTTACTCAACTGTATGTTTGCTCAACACCTTACAGGATTAAATGCTATAGCCTTAGTTGCAGATAAAAGTTGGAACTTATTCATTCGTCAATTTATAATTAAACGTAGATACATTGTTAACTTGATTGTGAAAATCTGAGGTGTAAATGATTTGGCGATATAAAAATAAACGGTAGGCTTTTCGTGAAACACTAAAATGAATGCTAGTTATGCAGATGTATTTAGCAGTGAAAGTTACCTTATTAGCGCTTTACACAGCAAAGATTTTATCAAGTATTCGTTTGTAGGGAATTTCGTTGGACTGGTTGGAGGATTTCATCATGAGCTGATATCAGTTAGAGAACCACTGTAGAACCAACAGCGGGTACTGTTTCATCCTAGTTTGGGACTCTTCACCAGTACGCACCCACCGGGGTTCGAACTCAGGACCTCCTGGTTACAAGGAGGGCTCGTAGACGAAACAGATGTCCAGTACTCCCTGTTGGTTTCCCAGTGGTTCTCTAACCGATGTCAGCTTATGATGAAGTCCTCCAAATAATAAATTAAGCAAAATATCCTAGGCAAATTGAAGTTAACCGATACTGTTTATATTCTACATAAATTATAAAATAATCTGTTTCATAAATTACCTGCATAAAATAAAATACTACCCATGCACCTCACTTAAAATACATATGTGATCTCTTTTTCATCCTATAGCTAAATGCGTCCACATACGCTGTTTACAGCAAAAAGAGTCTCTAGTTGTTGTCAATGTTGTTGTTGTGTGTGTTTTTTTTATCCATCTGCAACAGACTACCTTATGAAATACATCAGAAGAAAGTAGTTCAGTGAAAAAATATCTACAAAAAAAACTAACTGACACACAACACAAAAGCATAAGTTAAGTATTAAGAACAGCTGACTTACCATATAATTCTTTATTCATTGTGTTTTATTATGTCTGAAAATTAAATACATTTTAATTACTATCATTTTATACAGATGAAAGAATATTAGAAATAAATGAAATTTATTAGGAAGAATAAAAATTGTACTGTTTTACACTGTTGACATCAAACATTCAATCTTTATATTGGTATAATAAAGACTATATTTCATTACATTTCTTCGGATTTATGTAAACTTTTTTGTACTCATAGCAAAGTAACGATCCTCTTAGAACAGGAATGTTAACTAAAGTAGAATTGCTTTGGAGAAAGGTTGACTAAAAATGGTTCACCAGTGTAGACCATTTGGGGACTATTTATGACATTACTTGAAATTATCTACAGTGGGAAAAATGTACTTCTTCTAAACAAAATGGTTATGTTGCAGTAAGGAGTTTATTGAAATACACATTTATTGTTATTATTACTATACGCTTTGGTTTCGAGTGGAACATAAGGGATTCAGCAACACATCTCGACTTTGTTCTATTTTCCGCCATCCTCTTCAGCTGGGTCCACGATCGCCCATAATCTCTCATCTCTTCTTAACACGATCTCCTCCATGTCATCCTCGCACCGACGACCCACTCGTCACTTCCCATTGCGATGGCCTGTGTTGCGAGCGATGTCATCCGACGGTTTCCTCAATGTATGCCCGATCCATCTTCATTTCCTCCTACATACTTGTTGAGCGATTGGCTCTCGGTTGGTTTGTTCTCAGCCAGAGTTTCTTCTTGCTAATTCTTTCTGGCCATCTGACCTTCAATATGCAGCTAGCGAAGATAGCTGTTGATAAAAGTTCGAAGTAGCCTGCTGGAAATCCTTTTCGTCACACGTAGTGCAAGTTTCTCACCCACAAAGAAGCACCGACTTGACAGTGGTGTTGAAAATCAGAATCTTGTTCTTTATGCTGTCTGAATGCAGAAGATTTCCATACTGGTTTCAGGTTGATGAAGGTGTAACTTGCTTTTCCAATTCTGGCTGACTGACTTTGACATCTTTGTCCATTCCGATTGCCTGTGGTTGAAACGATGCTTCCTAGATAAGTGAGGGAAGTGACCTCTGTTAAATCTCTACCACTGATGGTGATTGGTGCTGGTTGTTGTTGCTGTTGCGGTTCGTTGGTTATCTCCATCACCTCCGTCTTCTCTATGTTCACTTGCAGTTCTGTCTTCGCTGCTTGCCTCGACTCTTCAGCCAGTTTGTTGGATTTCGCCTGCAGT